TAAGTATATTCCAAATATTGCATGGTAAATATTAAAAGAAAAAAGAAAAAAAAAAAAAAACAAAACGCTATTTACCTGAAAATGGAATTTAACTGGGTGTCCTTAATTTTTTTATTTGCTAAATCTGGCAACCCTACTTAGGCCCATTTTGAGCTCTTCTGTAACAAATATGGAATTAGTTACTCTCCAAGAAGTGCTGGTTCCTTTTTGTGGAGAATGGTAGAAGAGACCAAAATTGTAGCACTCTGGAACAAACTTTTTACAATTTCAGATAAAGACTATGAGCAGTTACTGGTATGGCCTGGAAGCTGACAACCACACAATGATAGTAGAAAGCTGCATATTTATGGAAAGAGCACCAAATGATAGTTTCAACCTATTTTACAGTATCTGTTTGGTTTGCTTTAAAATGAAAAATTATTCATTAATTTTCTCCTATTTTTGAGATACCAACTATCCTTCGATTCACTAAATTTGAAGTATCCTATTACTTTACTGAACTCTGCCCACTCCTGCTCCCCCCCCAAAAAAAAAAATCATGTTTGCGTTACAGTTAACAATTTCTGTGGGCACTGATATAATTATTTTTGACACTACAGACAATTGTAGTGTCAAATTCTAGTTTCTTAATGGTCTTTACAAAAGTTTTCCCATAGAATCATACCAATCCAAACTTTCAGATCAATTGAATATCAGAAAATGTAATAAAATAATATATGATTCATCCACCCAAGATGCTGAAAGGAAAGAAGGCCAAGGGGAAGAAGGTGGAGCAAGCGCCTGCTATCGTCGAGAAACAGGTCAAAAAGGTGGTAAATCCCTGTTTGAGAAAAGGCCCAATAGCGTTGGCATGGACAGGATATCCAGCCCAAAAGGGACCTCACCCGCATCGTGGCCTTGGACGCCGACAACCACTCAGCCGTTAGTTGCAGCTGGCTCACAGGTACAGGCAGGAGATGAAGCAGGAGGAAGCTGCTAGTCCAAGCTGAGAAGAAGGTTGTTGGCAAAGGGGATGTCCCCACCAAGAGGCCCCCGTCCTCCAAGTATTGACTGTGGGGTCAATACTGTCACCACACGGCTTGAATTCAAGAAAGTCCAGCTGGTAGCGATTGCACACGACGTGAACCCGATCGAGCTTCTTGTATTCCTGTCAGTCTTGTGTCATAAAATGGGGGATTCTCTACTGCATCATCAAGGAGAAGGCCCTGCTGAGGTGGCTGGTCCACAGGAAGGCCTACACCACTGTGGCATTCACGCAGGTGAACTCAGAAGACAAGGGAGCTGCGGCTACATTTGTGGAAGCCATCAGAATCCATTAAAACGAAGATACAACGAGATACTGGGGAGGCAACATCTGGGCCTCAAGTCCGTGGCTCACATCGTCAAGCTGGAAAAGGCAAAGGCCAAAGAACTGGCCACCAAATTGACTAATGCATGTGGCTGTTTTTTCTGTGCTTACAAATAAATTCGTTCTTCAGCTCGGAAAAAAAATAATCAAGTATATGAAACACTGTTAAGATACTTTTAAAACCTCAACTAGCTACTTTAGACTTTTTGCTTTCTGGGAGCAATCGAAGTAATCTCTTAGCCTCAGGTCTTTTGTGTGGGATTTCCCTACCTGCACTTCTCTTTCCTTATAAAGTTGTAGGACTCATTGCCTCACATTCTTCAGAATTTTGATGTTACTACCCTGTCAGATGCAGAGCACCCAGTATCAGAAGAATGATCACCATCATTCTCAACCTCCCAAATTCTATTGTCTCATAGTACTTATCATCATATTGCCTATTTTAAAAAAATTTTTTTTGAGGGGGAACAAACAAAAACAAGATGGCGGATCGGGTGGATGTATAGCAGAGAGTTCCGCCAACAACACAGAATACCCGACCAAGCAGGTTCAGGGGACGGTTGGTCCCAGAACTCTGAACCACATATAAAGGATATTTAGAAGGTTGGAAGGCTCACAACTGGGGGAATTTATGGCAGAAGCAAGAAATCTATTGCTTTCTAGTCCAGGATGCTCAGCTGCTCCAGGAGCCGCCATCTTGGGTGAGACCACGTGGGGAAAGGATCGGAGCGGCCACAGACGCCTGGCAGAACCGCTGAGATAAAGGTGTGGACATTCTT